GGGGGGGGGATGAAGTCTTTTTCAACTTTGTGATAAACTCATGGAGATACCTGAAGCCAAAGATAATTTTGAAAATGCAGAAGTCATAGGACCTTAGATTTAGAGAGCAAAGGGTCCTCAGAAGTCCACTTTAACTTTAATTTTGTGGATGAAGAAACCAAGGCCAAAAAAAAAAAAAAGAGGCTAAGGGATTTGCCCAGTGTGATGCAGCTAGAACATGTTTTAATCAGTATTTGAACCCAGGTCTATCTGATTGCAAGCGCTGAGGCTTATCCAATACACAAGACTTCAGGTTCATGTTCGTGCTATGCAAGGATCAGTAGAAGGAACTGGTAATAGGTTAGATATTATGTCTTCAAGTATATTGAGGCCTATAATACGGAAGGGGAAGGGACCTTCTCCTCCTCTCCTCCAGTTGGGCCCCAGAGGATAGCATTTAGGGTTAGGTTACATAGGACAATTTAGGCTAGAGTCAGGAAAAACTTTTCAGCCATGGTAGCTGTCCAGAGTGGATTAAGGATCCCTCCCTCATAGGAGGTCTTCCAGCAGAAGCCGGATGCCCACTTGACAGGTATGTTGTAAAAGAGGAATCTTGCTCAGGTCCAGTTTGGACCAGTAAATGGCCACTTTCAAACCTGAGATTCTGTAGATAACAGAAATGACTCTGAAACTATCTCTGCTGAGACTTCCCCAGGGCTCCCAAAGAGCAGAGCTTGTCCCATGATTGAGACCAATGGATGGCTTGGCTTGTGTCTGACCTAAAGGAAGCTGAATGGGGGAAATGGTGTCAACTTGTGAAGGGTCAGTGTTTGAATCAGGAAGCTTAAGCAGCAGGAGGGATCTTGGCTGAGTCTGGCAGTCTGTTTGTTTGTTTCTATTGCTTGGGAAGGTGCCTATCCAACTGATACCTCTTCTACATATCACATGAAATTCAAATGTGCAAATGTGCAAAAACACTTGGGCTGCCCAGTTGGGCAGGGGGGCTCATGCTAGCCACAGCTGTTACATGTTATAACTAGAAAGACACAGTGGGTACTAGAGAAACATGTCTTTTTGCACACTGCTCTCTTTTTTCTTCTTCCCTCTATCTTCGTCTTCCTCACCAGCAGCTTTTCCTATTCTCATACTTATTTTTGTAGGTCCTATAATTCTGCCCTGGGTAGGTTCCAATCTTGGCACAGAATCTTGGAATTGGGGCATTGAAAAGACCCTCAGGAGCCATTTAGCTCAACCTATAGGTGAAATCCAGTCCAAAGGCATCCCCACTGGAAAACCTAATGAGTTTTCATCCAACCTCTGCTGGTATTATTATTCACATTTAACAGATAAGGAAACTGAGGCAAAGTGAGGTTAAATGATTTGCCAAAAATCACCCAGCTAGGAAGTATCTGAAGCAGGATTCAAACCCAGGTCTTTCTGACTCCAAATCCAGCTGCTCTGTCCACTTTGTGCACCTCCTAGCTCTCTGGAACTGAGCTAGACCTTGAGGATACAAAGACAAATTGGGGTGTGTGTGGGGAAATCATTGCCCTCAGGGAGCTTACATTCCACTGGAGTCTGGAGAAGATACAACCTGTAGGCAGATGAATAACACTTTATGGAGAAGGGATATTCAAGGGATTAAGATAATCAAGTTTTTGTAAAACTAAGAGATAATCCAGGTTTTGTAAATCAAACCCTCTTTAGAAATGTACTAGGAAAACTTCCTTTTTTAATGGAGTTTTACCAAAATTTTTTTTTCAATAAAGTGAAAGTGTTTACAATTATCAAATAATATTTATGTAGAACTTTAGTGCTCTTAAGTACTTTGCATTCACTGTGTGATTTAGTTTTCACAATAGCACTGTGAGGTTAGTGGAGAAAGAGGAACTTTATCCTCACTTTACAGATGGGGAAACTGAAGCTGAGGCCATTGAAATGACTTTCCCCAGATTACACATCTTGTCTAGAACTAGAGCTCTGGTTTTTCAGATACTAAGTCAGTTCCTGTGGAAGGATCCCCTCATTCATCCATTTTGTAAGCTTGATTTCTGAACATTACATTTTTAGGAGGCTGACTCAGAAAAAGGCCAGATCTAAAAAATGAATGGAATCAGTCTTCTCTAGGTGACAGAAGATAAGAGAAAACACAGAAAAGAATCCAGATGAACAGAAATTAAACTGAAAGAAATCCCAGTCTAGAGAATTAAACAGAGACCACCTTTGCTTACCCAGTGTCTTTAAGCCTGTCCTCTTTGTTCAAAGATTGAAGATACTCTTTCTTTATGCAGCTGATGTCTCCCGCATCAAGTAACAGCAGTGGGTCTCTGTCTCCTTCTTCATCCTCTGATTGCCTGGTGAGCTGGGGAGGCCCCAGCAGGAGTCACGTAGCTGCCCTCCGGAGCCGTTTTGAACTAGAATATGCCCTGAATGCCAGATCCTGCATGTACTGGTCCCAGAGGTGAGCGGTCCTCACAGACACATGGCCTAACTAAAGTGTGCATGTGTGTGTGTGTGTTTATGTGTGTATGAGTAAATACATATATACATATATAGACATAGATATAGATATATAAGCAGCAGAAAAAAGAGATGCTCTGATTAGAAGACCATCTTGTCATAATTCTCCTTGTTACACAATAATAACTAATTATTCTTCCCCTAAGTGCTAAATTCACTTGTTTCTATGCTGTTGAAGAACTAAATACAATGAATGCTTCTGTATTTCAACCCCTTGGGGCAAAGCCCCAGTTGTCCCACCCTAGTTCCCACTCTGGTCACTTATGCTCTCTTTCTTCAAATTATCTTGGATTTATTAACCTGTTCACACGTTGTATTGACCAATAGAAAGCAAGTTCCTTGAGGGCAAAAACTTTTTTCTTTCATCATTCCCTCTTGTATCCCCATCACTAGGTCAATACACAGAAGGTGTTTTGAAAATGCTTCATGAATCAGTAGGTATTGGAACTGTGATCTCATTGAAATTGTCAGGTGAGGGAATTTCTTCTAATGATGTCGGTTGGCACCTTCTGATCTTGGTTGCGTTGAGAGGCTAATAGTTTAGGGTCACACAGCAAGTCTATGTGAGAGGCTAGATTTGAACCCAGGTGATCCTGACTTTGAGGTGGATTGTTGGTCTGTAATGCTATGAGGCATCTCTTTGATGGATTGGATGTTATTGGATCAGAATAGAAGGTTTCCCTTTCCCCCCTTGAACCTACATGCCCATCAATAACCAATTAGCAGCAACATATTTCTATCTTCTGAAAGCCAGCGGGGAAAGCTGTCTTCAGGGACTGGTGGAGTTCTATATAAAGTGCTGACGACTTTACAGCAGTAGGTGTGAGGCTGCTCCTGGGTTTACAGAAATATTTATGGATGAAGAGACGTAAGTGATACATTAAGCCTATGACACATGCAGTGTCATGAATACAGGAATTGTGGCTGGCTGCCTAAAAACCAGCCATGCTGTGGACACTTGGTTTGTTTGCTTGTTTTTGACATTTCACATTAACCAACCTTGCCCAGAAGTGGGAAAACATCTCTAGGTCCTGAGTCACTGGGCTGAGGGTGCAACCATCTTCCGTTCATTGCAAGAAGAGAGATGGGGATCAGAAATAGTCATTGAGAAAGGCCGTTTTCATCCTTGGCTCACCAAGGTTTTCCTTGCCCTAGCTATACAAGAATAGGAAAAGACATTTCTGAAAGAGAGCATGGCAGGTTACTGAACCGTGCATGCCCTTTGACCCAGCAATACAACTATACCCCAACAAGATCAAAAGAGAGGAAAAGGACCCCTAAGTACAAAGCTATTTATAGCAGGCCTTTTGGTAGTAGCGCAAAGTGGGAAATTAAGGGAGTGTCCATTAACTGGAGAACAGATGAACAAATCCATAGTAGATCAATGTAATAGAATATCATTGAGCTGTGAGAAGTGATGAAGGGAATTGTTTCCAAGAAACCTGAAAAGACTTGTGTAAACTGATGCAGAGTCAAGTGAGCAGAACCTAAAGGATAATTTATACTCTAACGACAACACCAGAAAAAAAAGGAACAATTTTCAAAGAACTCTCAGCAGTTCAATGGCCAGTTGCATTATCAGTCAGAGGACTGATAATGATGAATGTAGCTCACCTCCTGCCGGAGGAGTGATGGACTCAAGATTCAGAGTCAGGTTACATTTCTGGATATGGCCAGTGTGGGAATTTGTAATGTATGACTAGGTATCTGTGATGAGGCTTTGTTTTTCTTTTCAGGGCAAGGGGAAGAAAAAAATAATGCTTTGTAATAGAAAAAAAAAATTTATTGTGAGGAAGAGAAAGAGGAAGAAGGGGGAAGGAGGAGAACAGAGGGTGAGAGATGTCATGTCCGAAACAGAAACAGCCTGTCAAAAGTAAACCCTCATTGGCCTCAGAAAGCCCCAAAGAAAGAGAGATTTTCACGGGTCGATTACTGTGTCTTTAGGTCAATTTCAGATGATCTAGTTTTCATAGATCCATATTCATGGTTTTTTAAAAGTTAATTTCAACAAAAAGCTTCACATTCAAATATTCAAATGCAACATTTCTATCTCATACTGACCTACTTGAGGGAAATGAAAAGAATAAACCCAGATTAATTAACAATCAAACCTTAACTACTTTCTCCTTTCTTTCCATTTAAAGAACTTCCACGCAGAGGTCGACCTTTCTCAAAGGGTACGCGTTCTTAGCTAATACTTGAATCTCCTACCGTCTGCATATAACAAGCTTGTGGGAAATGGTTTAGAATTCTTAAGAACGAAAGCAGGTTGTGAACCTTTAATGTTGAGAGAGGATGTGGAGGCAGAACATTCTCTCAGTGAATTACATATTTCAGGGAATGTTCCCTCCTCCCTCCCCCATCTCCCATTGGTGCAGGGTGTCTGTTTCTGCCTCCAATGCTGAGGAGTGTCATGCTCCCAGTTTTTGCCTAGAGGTGGGTGAGGGACATTCTAGGTCTTTGAGGACTTTGAGGTTGATGTCTTCAGCCTCCAAACAACAGCGGAACTGAGACTCCAAGAGCACAGGAGGTTGAGGATTATAGGATCACAGATTCAGAGTGGGAGAGGACCTTGGTGGTCACTTTATCTGACATCCTCATTTCTCATGTAAAGCATTGAGAGCCACAGAGTAAGTAGAAAATCTGGAAAGAGATTGTAGTAGTAGTAGCAGCAGCAGGAGCAGGAACAGTGGTAATAACTAGTGTTTGTATAACACTTAGTTCACTAAGCACTCGGAATGTTGATTTATGTGATCCTCACAACAATCCTGTGAAGTAACTGCTATTAGGATCACCATTTTACAGATGAGGAGGTTGGGGCAGAGGCTAAGACAAGAATGCATGGGGTGGGGATGCCATCTGTATCACTGGAAAGAGGAGATTACGAGTCAATTAATCAACAATTAATTACCTAATACGTGCCAGAGTCTGTACCAAAAGTGGAACAATCCCTACCCTCAAAGAGCTCGAATAGGGTACATCACGAGGTTGTGAAGTCAAGTGACTAGAAGGGAGGCAGTGCCTTATACACAGAAGGACAAATTAGAGTAAAAGTGAATGTGAGGGTCAAGACAATGTCTTTTGGACTTGGGACGAAAATGCTTCCAGGCATCCATCTGAGTAGTGAGTGTGTAAAGTCTGTAAAGCCTTTCATAGACATTGTCCTATCTCATCCTTACAACACGTGTGTGAAGACAGAAGGCACAGGAACCAGCCTTCCTACTTTATGGGATGAAAAGACAAAAGCAGACTTGAGTTTGGAATTTTGCCTCAGTCATGTGATAACCATGAGACCAGGGGAGGTCACCTACAGGTAGATAGGACTGTCCCAACCTCTTAGCCTCACTTACCTTATCTCTAAGTTGGGACTAATAATAGTCCCTACCACCCGGGGTTATGGGGGTTACGGTGAGAATCGAACCAAACGCCATCTGTAAAGCCCTTTGCAAGAAGTGCTGAAATGTAGGTCAGTCCAAAGCCATTTGTTAAGCACTTGATGTGAATCAGGCACACTGCTAAAGGCTGGGGATGCCAAGAAAGGCAAAAGCACAGAGTCTGCCCTGAAGGAGCTCCCAGTCTATGGGAGACAATATGCAAAGAACTCCATGCATAAAAGATAGACATGGTGTCTACAGTATAAATGGAGGGGATCCCATAATCTCAGTGGAGGGCTGGGGACAGGAGAGGAGGTAGGGCAGAAAGGAATCTCCCCAAGAAAGCCCAGGGAGGTGGAATGGACCCTGGAGTAAATGGAGGGAAATAAACTGTAAACATTAAGTGGGCTACCTGATGTAGAGTGTTAAAAGGGACTGGTTAAAGAGATCCAAATGTGCAGCGTTTAGCCTAACAGCATCTCCATGAACAATGGAGAGGAGACAGATCCCACAGACCCTAGGAAGGTGAGCCACTCAGCCCTGGGGCTTGGGGCCCTGCAGCCCAGCCTGGGAATGGTGCATTCATGTGTCACTTTTCTATGCAAAGGTTAAGCTGTTGTGAGTTATTTTATGGGAGTCAGTTGAATTTTTCTTTATTTTTTCCCCAAACTGGGAATTTCAATGTGGGTGGGGGGGGGAAGGCCCCACTGTTCTTGTTTGTGTTGAGTAAAGTTCTGGGAATAGAACACTGTTTAGCCATCTAGGAGAAGAAAACCAGACCTATGGAAATCAGAATTTTCAAAACAGATACACCAGGGAGTAATTATTCACATCCACAAAAGGTTCTGCCAAAAGGTTTCTTTAAATAGCAAGTTTGCCTGCTGGCGGATCTCAAACTCGTTTCTATGTTTTTAGGAGAAAGGGCTGAATTAAAAAAAAAAAAACAATTAACACACACTTTGTCAGGAATGTAACTATTGTGCAGGGTGAAGCAAGCCAGAAAGTCAGGCATTGGGAGCTTTGGGGGTGGGCTGGAGGAGGGCTGCAAATAGGATGGGCTGATCATTGCCAAGTGGGCAGAGGGCCAGCTGGGAGGTTCAGAAGAAAGGGAGGTATGTGGGGTTATAGGCACCTGCTGCTGTGGGGAGGAACAGGTCAGAGCAGAGCAGTCTTCTGCCATATATTTATGGGAGGATGATGGAAGAGGGAGGTGGTGGGATCATTAATTAACAGAGCTGCACAGGCGTGGAGATTTCTTATTTCTCTGGCTTAGGGATTAAAACCAAACTGGCGTTTTTTGCAACACTGAGTTTCTGATGCCTGGGTTTGTTTCACAGAATCACTGATTCTCAGAATTGGAAGGAACCTCAGAGAACCTTAAGCTGGGGTTAACTGATTGGCTGGCTGACTGCAGCCTATGAGCTGCCTATAGATTTTTAGGGAGTCCATGAACTTAGATTTGGAAAAATACATCTTTATTTTCAATAGCTTTGGTTTCCTTTTCATCCTGGGTATTTTATTTTATGTATTTAAAAGCATTACTCTAAGATGAGGT